ATTCTTTCGACCGACCGACCGACCGACCGACCGTGCCTGGGATGTGCGCTGGACGGGGATGTGTGTTGGGCTGTGTGCTGGGACGTGTGCTGCCTTCGTGTGCAGGGATGTGTGCAGGGCTGTGTGCTGCCTCCGTGTGCTGGTATGTGTGCTGGCTTCGTGTGCTGGGATACGTGCGCCCCCGTCTGCTTATTCCGACCGACCGACCGTGCCCCCCCCCTCCTGCCCGACCGTACCTCCCCGTCCCCCTGCTCCCCCCAACGCCCCTCCGCCTCGTGGCCCCCGTCTGCGCATTCCGACCGACCGACCGACCGTGCCCCCACCCTCCACCCCGTGGCCCCCGTTTGCTTATATCGACCGACCGACCGACCGTTTCCCTCCCTGCCCGACCGTGCCTTCCAGTCCCCCTGCTCCTCCCCCCGCGCTCCTCCGCCCCGTGGCCCCATTCTGTTGATTCTGACCGACCGACCGACCGACCGTGCCTCCCCCCTTCCACCCCGTGGCCCCCGTCTGCTTGTTCCGACCGACCGACCGACCGTGCCCCCCCCGCCCGACCGTGCCCTCCCGTTCCCCTGCTGCCCCCCGCGTCCATCCGCCCCGTGGCCCCGGTCTGCTTATTCCGACCGATCGACCGACCGACCGTGTCCCCTCCTTCCGCCCCGTGGCCCCAGTCTGTTGATTCCGATCGACCGACCGACCATGCCCCTCTCTGCAATGGTCTTGCTGAGACCGCTGCCCTGATATCCTTCCTGACTTCTCTTCCTCGAAGATGTTCTGCTATATACTCGCTCTCTTTCTTGAAGATGCCCTGCTATCTACTTATTCTCTCTTTCTTGATGAAGATGTTGGAAACAATGGGCAGTGGGGAGACTTTGCGTGAGGCTGCTCGCGCTCGAGACGATGGCAACGCAACGCAACGCAACTCCCGATCGGCCCGAAGGCCGTGCTAATCTAGAACTCGGAGGAAAAACTTGGCCCGTGCCTCCGGCACCCGGGCAAATGTGCGAACGTCAAACGAGGATTGAGTCACGGGCAGGCAGGGGCGGGGCGCTCGAGACGATGGACAGAATTGTTTCTGGGCAGCGGGTACAGTAGCTGTCCTACGGTTCTCGACCGCACGTCTGAAAATCCAGCACCAGTGAGTTGCTGTACAAAGGCTTGAGCCAAGACGGTTTCGGAAGAAACGTCTTGGGAAACGTGTGAAACACTTAAACAGGCCTCATGGGCTTGGGGCTCTCCAGGGAACCTTGAGGATACCATTAAGCATGGCTAGGCTGCAAAACAGAGAAAAAAGGAACCTGCTACGCCATGGGACGCGGACGTACATAATGTGGATATTATGTACTGGGCTTCTTGGAACCTTGTCTTAAACTGTCTAGCGCACCGGGCCTCGATGGGCCATCTGTCGTAAGTAGGCACAGGGAGGTAGGCTCTGGGCTGTGAATTGCATGCCCAAAAGTTAAAATTCGATGTTACGGCATCGAAGCCTGGCCTTCCCTCCTGAATTCAAAGAAATGTGTGGTAGGACTCACCCGGCCCCGGATGGCCTCATGTCCGGCAGGTCCAGCCTGCTGGGACTCGTCGTAGCGTAAGAAGTACACCAGGGCTTCCAAGGCGGTGTCGGGATCCAGCGGGGTGCCGTGATCTAGCTTGTCGATGCCCTCGGAATGGCGCCTACGTGCTGACCGATGGAGAGGATCGTCCAATAGCCGCCAGCGCTGTCCGCTTCTGAAGAAGTTCAGCAGTGCCTTGGCAGCGCGGTCCTTCGTGAGACCGTCGGCTAACATGGCATCGCTGTGAACCCAGCGAATCTGGAGCCCTGTCTGCTGCTTCTGCTGCCTGATGTCCAGGCACTCGATACTGGTCCTCTTATCTTGAAGACCCAGTCCAGCAGACTCGCTCTTCTCGATGACATCGTACCCGGACTTCCCGTCTGTGACCAGGACTCCAGGGCAGGTTGAGATGGCGTCCTTCACGGCCTGCTTGTTGGTGTAATCCACGTGGCCGCACTCTAGCTCGTAGATGAACAGTCGCACGTAGCTGATCTCGTCGAGCGTCTCCGTCATCATCTGCACCTCGGCACTCGTGCTGCTTCTGGCAACGCGTTGCAACTTGCATGATCTCCAGGAAATCGGCGCCACTGTCTCTGTGGATCCTTCTAGAAACGATAGCGGTGCCAGCACGATCATCTCACCTCCTTGGGATTCTCCTGTGATCCAGGCTGCCCATGCGGCGTCGCCCCAGCCAACAACTGCCAGCTTCTCGATCGCAGGCATGACCATGGTGACGTCAGCGGTGTCGTTCGTGGTGCGGATGAGCTTGTTGATCTTCTGAATCGTGGAAACCGTCGCGGTAGGAATCTCGGCGCTGAGCCACGGTGCTGACTGCTGCGCTCTCCAGCCCACGGTGCCAAGCCGTCCCCGTCGATCAGAGCGTTCGCGATCAGAAACTCCGTCAGTGGGCTTCCTGCCGCGCTTGACTGGAATCTCCACGTTCATGCTGTAGGTGTCCTGGGCGAGGCTGCACGTGAAGTCATCCTTCTGGCGGATGCTGGCTCCACATTGAACGAAAGCCTTGCTCTCCCAGGGTGTCCATTCGAAAACTTGTTGAATCTCCTTCCGCTTCTGCAGGAAGGACGTGTTAGTGTGGTCTCGGGCGATCATCAGGTCGTCTACGTGTAGAATGACCATGCCGATCGACTTGCCGTCGCCGTCCCTGATGGCCCAGACGCAGGGCTTGCACTGGATGGCCTCAAGCTTGAGCTTGTTGAGAGTTTCCTTGACATGTAGCCACCCTTTCCGAGGTGCGTGTACGAACCCGTACATCGGTTTGAGGAGCTGCAGCGCCTCGCCCGCCTTCATGCCGAAGGCCTGGCGAACATCCTTGGGCGGGTCGGCGTAGATCTTCCGCTTCTCCTCGTCGGTCTTTCCTTGAAGGAATGCTGTCACTGCGTCGGCCTTCTGATTCTGTACGTAGATGTAGTAGATCAGGACCGCTGAAACCGAGTACCACAAGTCGAGCTTTGCCTCTTAGAACTTTACCTCGTTCGTCCTTCTTCCAGGTGAGCACGAAACGGCAGCGTAGAAGACGTGCTGGATCTATACCCTCGCGGCTGAGGATCCTTGCGGCCTTGGTGCTGAGAACGGCGGTGCACTCCTTCTGCTGGGCATCAAGTAGCAGATTCTTTTCCTCTGGCGTTGCCTTCTTGAATGAAACTTCCAACCGACCCCTGCGAGCCTGCGGAGCCACGAAGTTGCTCGGGTCCTCGAAGTAGTTCATGAAGGCGTGCTCGTCGTTAACTGGAATCTCCAACGCGATCAGCTCGTCCTCCTCATTGGTCTCGTCGTACTGCTGGGTGCTGCAGGCGTGATCGCTGTAGAAGTTACCCCCTGCAAATACCAGGAGAAGTCCTCCTGAACTGCAGCGCTGATCCTGGACTTCTTGACGGGGGGCTCTGTCATCTCGTCGGTGTCCACGGTCCGCTTCTGAGGTAGTTCTGATCGAGCTTCTTCGGATTCAGGGTCTACCGCCAGTTCTCCAGCTTCTGAGCCGTCCAGGACGGGCTTCTGTGAGGTTTGATCCTCCATGACATCGTCCTTCGGGTCGATAGGTGAAGCTTCCTCGTCGGCTTCGGCTGGATCTTCAGTCTCTTCTGCAGGTGGTCCTTCAGCAGATGATTCGAGCCCTGGTGGTGGCTCTGGTGGTACGTCTTGTATAAGTGGCTCCTGTGGCTCCCCCAGCGTCCACGGATTCTGCCTCCGTCGCAACCGTCTCGTAGGTGCTGGTGGTGATGGTGCTGGTCGTGAAGCTGATGATGACGTTGTTCCTCCTCCGCCTCTAGGTGCGTGAACCTGAGGTACTCCTTGCGATGGTAGAGGCCTGTCGTCATCTTCATCAACGGACCAGGGTCCACTTGGGTTGTGCTCGAACGTTCGAGCGCTTGTAGATTCCCCGTCGTCGTTGGCGAGGTCGTCACTGGTGGGTGGCGGCTCGTTGGTGAGGTCGATCACCTCGTTGGTGTCGAGCTGCTTCTGTGCCTCCCCGAACGTCCAGGTGCCTGGCTGTTCGATCCGAGATCGGAGCGCGTCCATAGCTTCTTCAAAAGGTGTGGCTGGTCGTATCTGTTCTGGTGCAACTCGGTGGAGCCGTCCTGCCAGGGTAATGTTCGCCACTGCGCCAGGTAGGCCAGGTCGGTGTCCAGAGCTAGCGGGTTCGTGACAAAGTGCTCGCCCAGGTCGAAATCCGCGCCTCGCTCGAGACATCCCCAGAATCTGCTTGGAGCGCAGACGAGGTCGGCCCCCCAAACAAGCAAACCGTTCGAAACATCCTCGCCATCTGGGCCCCCTGGGGTGTTCATCACTATCATCAACACCATCACCATCATCACCACCAGCATCATCACAACATAACATGACCGCACCATATCAGAGCACCACATAACATACCATACCATACCATACCATACCATACCATCACATACCTTAACCTACATTACATATTCATCATACTCCGAGTGCATCCTCATATTCTTGAGTAAGATGGGGAAGAGAGACAGGAGGAGGTGTGAAAGGAAGGTCCGCGCGGTAACAGTAATAACAACAACCCCATCCGTTGGATATGGGAAGCAAAACCCCAGTCTTCGGATATCGGGAATGATTTCGGGAATACTTGTTCTAGTAATTCATGTACAACAACAGCACCAAAACATTAAAAGCAACAGCAACAACAGCAGCAACAACAATAACAGCAGCAGCAGCAACAACAACAGCAACGACAACAACGACGACGACGACGACGGGCGACGACGGCGACGACGGCGACGACGACGACGACGGCGACGACGACGGGCGACGACGACGACGACGACGACGACGACGACGTGGCGCTATGTCCGTGCGATGCCGCCTGCCGCCTGCCTCCCCCTCGCCGCTGCCTGCCCGCCCGTTCCGCCCCGCAGCGCCGTTGCGGGGAGCGCGGCCTCGCCGGGAGGGGCCCGCCAGGCCGGGCTGCTGGACTGGCGGGCGAAGTGGCGCGCGCGGAAGAAGGCGGGGCGCCCTGCGCCAGCAGGGGTGCCCTCCCGCCAGCTCCTCCCCCCCCGTACCTCCCCAGGCCCCCTCTGCGCTGCGAGAGAGAATCGCCCTGGGAGCTTTTCCGTTGTTTTCGGCCCCCGGGGGCCCTCGCTGGGCCTCGGGGCCGTCAGCAGAACGGCGCAGGACAACAGACCGGTCCCGGGGAAGGGGGTTCCAGATCTCTCGGGGTCGAGCTTATGGGAAAGCCACGACGTCGGGGGTCTGTGTCCTCCCCTCCAGCTCACCCTTTTCCTTGTGCTTCTCCGCCTCCTCGGTCTGCTTCTCGGCCTGCCCTTCCCCAGCAGTTGCATGGAGCGGCTCGTAGCCACAGTGGTCAGGCTCTCAGCATTTGTTGTGCCTCTCATGGGCTCGCCCTCGAGCGCTAGGATGGTTGTCGCGCGCACGTCTAGGGTACGGTGGTACGGCCGCTCCTCCTCCTCTTCCGCCTCCTCCTCCTCCTCCTCCTCCTCCCCCGCCCCCCTCCCTTACGACGGATCTCTCCTCGACTCATCGGTCGAGACTTTATAACTAGTGGTCATGCACTTTCCAACAGTTGAGCGGATGTGTAGCACGTGTTTTTCAGCATGTGGATGTCGTTTTAGTGTTGCGAGAGTTAATTGTACAAGTTTCGAGCATTTGCGCGGATCTAGGGCCTTTAGTTTTCAGCATGTGTTTGTCACAGCTGCGAGCGTACATGTGTCGTACAGTGTCCAAGAGCTGCACGTCTGTAGGGGGCACTCCGTATGTTTAAAGATGCCACTCGGAATTCAAGATGAACGCACTTATACGGATGCAAGGCGATTCGTTTTGTTTGTTGTTTTTGTTTTTGACAGAGTTGGATCTTCGCCTGAGAATTCGTCGTCTGGATTTCTCGTCAGTAGAGGACGCGTGCAAACAGGCTGCAAGGATGGAGGCCGGTTCCTTGTCTCGGCGGGGTTGCAGTCATACCTTGTGGCACGTCTTCTAGCTCGAAGGGGGGGGCCAGTTTCGTTCCAAAAGGGGCCCTCCTCCGAATAGTAGGCACTTGGGGCGTCCGTCTTTCAACGAGACGCGTCCCGCATGGAAAAGGAGTGCCTATAGGCTAGGGACTCGAGGAGGGAACTCAGGGCGGGAGGGTGTTCTGCAGGGCCCGCTCATTGATGCATTGCTCCTGCTGCAGGTGCTGGGGCTGCTGCTGGCGCGGAGCTCGGCCAGCCACCCGACGCCGCCGCCGAGGCCGCCGCCGTCGAGCTCGAGGACGCGGCGGCAGCCGCCCCCGAGCTGCAGGCAGCACTGGCAGGAGCAGGCGTGGCGCGGGAGGTGCGAGGGCACTGCATCGTCGTCTCGCGCCTGGAGAACGGCGACGGGGCCATGGCCTGGTGCCTGAAGTGTGGCTGCCGCTTCTGGAAGAGGTCCCCTCCTGCAGGGACTGGCCTGCTGGGCAGCTGCAAGGGGCGACCTGCCCCTGGCGAGCGGGCGGCAGAGGCGAGGCGGCTCCTGATGCGTCTCCAGGAGCCGAAGAGCAAGGCGCGGCTCCTCGCCCCGCAGGCGCCCACGGCTGAGGAGCAGGCGCGGCTCGCGGCGGTGCTCCGAGGTGGCGCTGGCGAGGCAGGCGGCGCAGGGGCCCCCGCTGGGGCTGGGCGGCCGCCGCGCTGGGGGCTGCGGCCAGCCGTGGCGGATGCCTGGCAGGCGGCCGCGCTCCACGGCTTCGCCTCGCCCGCCGCCGCGGCGCGCTGGGCGCAGGCGCGCGTGGGGGCGGGCTGGGAGTCGCCCTTCGGCGACGGTGGCGCGGCGTGACCGCGCTTCGGCGGCACCTGGTTTGGCCCGCGGCAGGGCGCCAGGGGGCCGAACGGAAAAATGACCCAAAATGGCCTTCTCCTCCTCCTCCCCCCCCCTCTTCCGCCAGCTCCCCCGTCTCGTGTTGGCAGTGAGCGCATCTAGCTTGCCCCTCTCTTCTCTTCCCTTCCCCTCCACCCCGCTCTTCTCCCTCCTTCGCCGCCTCCCCCTCCCCCCCCCCCTTCTTGCTCCCTGTCCTGCTCCCGCTCCTCCTCCTCCTCCTCCTCTTCATTTCCTCCTCACTTCCCCCTCACTTCCTCCTCCTCCTCCTCCTCCTCCTCCTCCTCCTCCTCCTCCTCCTCCCTGTCGGATTCCTCGCCTGCGTCGGGTTCCTGTACTCGTCGATCGAGGGCCTCGTGGCCCACCTCGGCCTCCTCACCCGCATCTCCTGGATCCAGAGCGGCATCATCCAGGGGTGCGCGCTCTCGGGGACCCTGTGTGCGTTGGCCACGGCGACCTTCCCTTATGACTTCACCCAACACATTGAGGGCAACGACCCGGGCCTCGTGAGGGCCTGTTCGAACGTTATCGGTGGTACTTTGGAAGCTATCCAGGAGCTGCGACGCGTGCGTGATGTCATGTCCAAGGCCTCGTCCATGGCCAACTTGGTGCTCAAGGTCGCTAAGTGCAAGCTCGTCCCCCTCTCGGGCCCGTTCTCGGTGAAGCTGGCCCAGCAGGTGGCCGACACCATCAACGCTGTGGCTCCTGAGTGGAGCCCCTTCGAGATCGTGCCGTCGCTGTTGTACTTGGGTCTGTGAATGGGCTCTGGTGCCACTATGCAAGCGTCCTGGTCTGACCCCGTTGCGAAGCTCCGTTTGCGGGCTCAAGCAATTGGCCAGGGAACCACTCCAGCCAGCCTGTCTGCGATACTGTACAACACCAGGGCGGTCTCCATCAGATCATACATGGCGCAGTTCTGCTGGCTGGCTCAGGACACGCTCCAGCCTGAGCTCGCTGTTCCGCATCCCTCTGGGCACGTTCTCCTTGGGCGCGTGGGTCCAGCTCGAGCGGTGGGGTGGCCCTCGCTGTGTCCGCTGGGGTCACTTGGCGGTCGCCGGTATTAGGCGGGCGGCCTTGTACACGTGTCCTCGGTGGTCGGAGTGGCTCCAGCAGCTGCGTGACCACTCCGTAGTGAAGGGCGACTGGCGCACGTTGTGCATGCTGTGTTCTGGACGCCCGTGCCCATGCTGCTGGAAGGGCCCTGCATTTGTCGAGAACCTTGAAGCTGCTGTCGAGCATCAGACCTGGCCAACTGTGTCGTCTGGTTCCGTGCACTACTGCCGCGGCGCGCGAAGCGCTCCATGGACCTGCTGACCGCCGCCCACGACCTCAGCGTGCTGCTCACCTTGCTACGCGCTAGCTCGCCAAGGACTGGACCCCTCCGACGGCTTTGTTCGAGGAGCGGCTTTGCAAGTGTGCTGGTCGGTCAAGGCACCTGCTCTCCGACACCGATTGGCCACGGTGTCTTGCCATTCTTCGTCGGTGCCCTTGCTCCGGGGTGTGGGCAGTGCTGCGTACTTGGTGTGTTGGTTGGATGACAAGATCCAGGATCACTTCGCCCCACGGCCAGCACTGGCAAGATCGACTCCTTGCGTCACTACGCTCGTTGTCCCGTGCTTCGCCTTGCACTTCTACGTGCCCTCGCGCGGCCGCTCCCGCTCGATTGGCTTTCGCCGTGAGGCCTTCGCTCCCCCGAGCTGTCCACTTTCGCTGCGATGGCGGCAGCTAGTAACATGTACAACGAGGTGAGGCTCATCTCGTCGCGGCCTCTCCTTCCCGGCCAGCTCGCGTCTGTGGCCCTCGCGAGGGTGCGTGCTATGATGCTTGCTGCGCCGACTGGCGTCGCCGACGACGTGAGGCAAACGCTTGGCAGGCGGGACTACCGCGTCTCTTCCTCGTCATCATCCAGCTCTTCCTCGCCGCGCCTTACGTCAGCAGTCTCTTCATCGGACTCTTCGGCACGGTCTGACGCCACTGCCGACGTCGAGCTTGCCACTGCCCTCGATGATGATGAGCATGCGCTAGGTCTGTCATGGGCCACGTTGTCCCTGTCTCCTTCGCAGATGGCTACACCGTAACCTCGGCTTCCGCAGTCGGTGTGTTTGGCTGCGCATTCTGCTTCGTAGAGCTGTTCTGCAGTGCTCGCTGACGACTACCCGAAAGGAATCGTCTCGCCTGTTAGATCGCAAGTCCCGTCCACGTGTTCGCGCTCACCGTCGCCACCTGCTGGAGGACGTGGTGACTACATTCACGCCATCGGTGTTAGATCGCAAGTCCCGTTGTTGTGTCTCACCGTCGCCACAGGCTGGAGGAAATGCAGGCCACGCGACTGGCCGAGGCGTTAGATCGCAAGTCCCGTTGTCGTGTTCGGACTCAACGTCGCCACGTGCTGGTGGATATGATGGAGCCCCCATCGTCATCAGCGTTGGATCGCAAATCCCGCTGTCGTGTTCGGGTTCACCGTCGCCACCTGCTGGAGGAAATGATGGCGCTCCCACAGCCATCGGTGTTAGATCGCAAGTCCCCTTGCCGTGTTCGGGCTCACCGCCGCCACGTGCTGGAGGAGATGCTTGCCTGTCGGCTGCCATTGGCGTTAGATCGCAAGTCCCGTTGTCGTTGTTCGGCTCGCAGTCGCTACGTGCTAGATGAGGTCTGGGCGCTGCTGCTACCCTTGGTGTTAGATCGCAAGTCCTTTTGTCGTGTTCGGGCTCAGCGTCGCCACGTGCCAGTTTGACGGACATGGTATCGGACGCAGACGGTACGCCGTCCATTCCGCAGATCGTCAGGGGGCCAATGTCGTCGTTGGTGCCAGTGACCTTCTCGCCTCGAGTTTGGTTGTCCCCGTTGTGTGCCGCGGGTGGTTGGACTGCGGCTAGAATTTCGACTCCGATTGCATCGGCTCGTGCTCGTTCGCTGCCATCGAGGCGAATCTTCTCCACATTTTCAGTTGCGAGAGCTCTGAGCACCTCTAGGCCGCCTTTGCTTCAATTGTCTCCGTGCATTGTGTCCCCTCCTTCGCGTGTGAGTCGCCCTCAGTCCAGCCCTTGCTACAGTTTGCCTGTCCAGCGTTTGTCCCCCCAGACGATCTTTCCTCCCCCCTCGTCCTTCGCTCCTGAGCCTTCCTGCTCTTGCTGATGCCTGCTCCCCGCCCGCTTCTCCCCTCCTGGTCACCGCCGTTCCGCCTGTGCCACCTATCCCCGGTCCGTCCTTCGTCTCCTCGAGGCTTTGTCCTGCCGTTGCCTACCCCCCGCCCGCTCCTCCTCCTCTGGCTGCCGCGTCGTGGTCCCTTTGTCTGACTGTCTCCTGCTTTCAGCCTTCGCGTTCTGTCTCCTGCCGCCGAAGTGCGGGCTGACAATATTCGGCTCACTTCCACGGCGTCGCCATCCGCGGCAGCCGAGGATGGCCCGCTCCTGCCCCGCCCGACGTGGCGCTGGGCCCAGGATGAGGGCAGGTAGGGGGCTCCTCTCTACGCTGGGCTCCTCCTCTTCTTCTTCCTCCTCCTCCTCCTCCTCCTCCTCCTCCTCTTCTTGATTCTTTAGTTTGTAGCCTGCTGCTGCTCCTCCTCTTCCGTCTCCCCGGGTGGCTCCACCTGCCCCTCCCCCTTCATCTCCTGCTCCCTTATCTCGGCTCCCTCCCCTGCTGTGCCTCTTGTCGTCCCTGTCCTCATCAGTGCCCTTGTCATTCTCGCCCTCCTGCTTCGTCCTCGTCGTCCTCGTCGTTCTCCTGTCCTCCTCCTGCTCTATGGTGGCAGTTTTTCCCGGACCAGGCGTCGGCCTAGGGGTCTCTTTGAGTAGGTTTCCGTTTGGCCCTGACGACTGTAGGGCCGGCGAACTATTCTGTGATAAAGAACCAGGTCGCGTAGGGCCGGCGATTTCAAATTTGAGGATGTCACGAGCGAGGCGCTGGTTTTTGAAATTCCGATCGATCAAACAGGGTGCGGGACACATTTGGGGCAGGGGCGCGAATCCGTTTGTTTTTTTCGTGTGTGTCCATAGATTGGCTTTCTCCAGGGGCGCGAATCCGGGTGGTTTCACGTATGTTCCTATAAATTGGCTCTCTCCAGGAGGCCCCACGAGGGCCCAGGTCATTCATTCAGCGGGGTATCTCACATGGTTGTCCCGAGTTGGAACCGCGTGTTTTTGCGTGTCCAGGCCACCCACTGGGGTATTTGACATGATTGTCCCGAACTGGAACCGCGTGTTTTTTACGTGTCCAGGCCGCCCAGAGAGGGGTATCTAACATTGCGTCGGGCCCAACACCGAAGTAACAGGAAACGCACGGGGGGCCGAAAAGCGCCACCCGAACACATATCGCTTTGGGGGTGTTTCCAGGGAAGATATTGCGATGGTGTCTTGGGCGGGAGCGCCGAATGGAAGGTCGCCGCAAAGCCGCGCCCCGCCCGTGGGCGCAGGCCTGGTGCTGCATCCACCACCACCTGGCCTGCGCCGACGTCCCGCCCGACGTGCTCGCCGCCGCCGGGGCGCCGACCGCGGCCGCCGCCAGCCCGTCCGTGGCTCAGGGCGCCGTCGATTTTGTTGTCGTCTCCGCCGTCGCCATCGACGACGGCGTTGTCATTTTGGACGGTGTCGTCGCCGTGGACGTCGTCGTCGACGACGCCATCGACTGCGTCGTTGGTGTCGTCGTCGCCGCTGCCGCCGCCGCCGTCGGTGGCGGCGTCGTCGTCGTCGTCATCGTCGTCGTCGTCGCCGCCGCCGTCGCCGTCGTCGTCGTCGTCGTCGTCGTCGTCGTCGTCGTCGTCGTCGTCGTCGTCGTCGTCGTCGGATGTCGATGTCGCCTTGGAGTGTTTCGGGCGTCTCTGGGGGTCCTTGTCGCCACGGCTGGACGCGACCCGGAGCACTGAACAGGATAAGCCTGCCTCCGAGTCCTCCCGGCGTTCTCGAGCTTTCTGAGGTGCTCTGGCCGTCCCGCGCCCCCCCTCTTTCGCTTCTGCCCTCTTGCTCCCCTCTGCCCGATCCGCTTCCGACGCGTCCCGCCGTCAATTAGCCGACCGCCTGCTGGATCCAGTTCGCCGCAGATACAGCAATCGGTGCCACCCACGCATGCAAATGCCCTGTGTGCGTCGTTCCCTGAGGGGCGACGCGCGCGCCGAAAATACTTCTAGTGTGTACTCCTTGGCGGGCGCTTTTTGGCCGAACCGCTCGGGAAGCGAGATACTACTGGTTCGGGCCGGATGCACGCCTCCGAGGAGGGAAGCAGCACTAGTCTGTCCTTGTGCGTTCCACCCGAGGCCTCCCGAAGTCCGACAGGGGTCCCGAGGCTCCAGAGGACCTCGACCCTCGGGTCTCGAGCCTCGAGCCTGGACCCTCGAGCCCCGAAAGTCTTCTGACAGAAAACGCAGGCCCTCGAAAATCTCAAGCCGCGGGCGCCGTTCCACGGCGCCCGAAGCCTCGGGGGCCGCCGAGGGCTGCCGGAATGTGCCCAGGAGGCTTCAGACCCCACAGGATTCCTCATGTGATGAGGGCCGCGGTGGTTTTTATAGCCAAGCCTTGATTGGCGCTCCAGCGGCTTCCAAACCCTGGATTCCTCATTCCTCATCCAATGATTACTGAGTCAGTGCCCTCACCATAGGTCCCCGTGCGTCCCAAACACCCAGAC